TGAGGAAGAAAGCTATCCATTATTCATCTACATTCATAAATTCTAATCATAAAATCATCATCATATTCGGTAAAAAGAAGAGCAAAGTGGTCATGTCTTTAATCAATAGAAGTTTAAATCGTTATAAGACACGATTAGTTATACAGATAAGACTATGTTGTAATTGAAAATCTGCGACATCTATATAATTTCTTGTAGAAAACCACATATGATTTGTCCAATAGAAAAAGAAAAAATGACTCATTGATTTTCTTGTAGTTGTCGATTTGTTTGTTTACTGTTATGTTTTTCTCATATTCGATCTTGAATATTATGTGAATAGAATAGATTATTTAGGTTTTCAAACAAAAACAAAATGCAGTCAATTTTGAAAATCAACAGCCGTCGTGTATTATCATCGATTTTAACACCATGTCGATCGATCAGTAACGATGTATGGATATTTTTTTCTTATTGCGTTTATTTTATTTAATTATTTATTTCCGTATATTTTATCAGTTGAATACATCTTGGAGAACAGCATATGGAGGAAAATATACTGTAACATTAATACATGGAGATGGTGTTGGACCGGAACTTATGGAACATGTTAAAGCTGCTATTCGGTAAGAAATATTATTATTGTGATTTATTTAATTATTTTTTAAATTAGATGCGTTCGAGCACCGGTCGATTTTGAAGATATACCATTATCAAGTCATGTAGCTAGTGATGCAATGTTTGAAAGAGCTATTACAGCTGTTAAACGTAATGGTATAGCTCTTAAAGGTTAATATTCTTCTTTTTTTATATAATTAAATTATTAAAATATATATTGAAATCAAATAGGTAATATTGCATCACAAAATACATCAAATTCTCTTAATGTTCTTTTACGGTAAATTTATTTATTTATTTGTTTTTGTTTTTCATAATTTTATATTATAATTTTAGTACTCGTTTGGATTTATTTGCTAATGTCATTCGTTGTAAAACAAGTCCTGTTGTACCGACACGTCATTCAAATATTGATATTCTCGTTATTCGTGAGAATACCGAAGGTGAATATAGTTCACTTGAACACGAGGTAAATATTCGCATTTTATATATTTTCTCTTATTTTATTTTTTCTTATTCTAGTCCGTTCCTGGAGTTGTTGAAAGTCTTAAAGGTAAATATTTAATTTATATATACATATGTATTTACTGGTTTCTCTTAAATAGTTATCACACGAGCAAAATCTCTTAAAATTGCTCGTTTTGCTTTTGAAATTGCAAAACATGCTGACCGAAAGAAAGTCACTGCTGTTCATAAAGCAAATATAATGTAAAATCATTCTTTTTTTTGTTTGTTTGAAATAATTAATAATTTATTGTGTAAAATAGGAAATTGAGTGATGGTTTATTTATTGACTGTTGTCGTGAGATTTCCGCTGAATATCCCGATATTAAATTTGACACAATGATTGTTGACAATACCTGTATGCAATTGGTAAATCGACCAACACAATTTGATGTTATGGTTATGCCAAATTTATATGGAAATATTGTTTCAAATGTATGTGCTGGTCTTGTTGGTGGTTCAGGTTTTGTTGCTGGTTCAAATTATGGAGATCATTTTGCTATTTTTGAACAAGGAACAAGAAATACAGGTTTAGGTATTGCTGGAAAAAATATTGCTAATCCATCTGGTATTCTTTTTGCTGCTGCCAATATGTTGAAATATTTAGGGTAATAGACAACAAACGCATCGACTTTTTATTTCTAATAATATTTATTTTCCTTTTTTAGATTGGATCATCATTGTTCAGCTATAAAAAATGCCGTTTTAAATACAATTCAAGAACATCAAATCAAAACACCAGATATTGGTGGTACAGCAACAACAACACAATTTATTGAATGTGTTTTAAATGAAATTGTCAAATTAACTCCAGCAATTGGTTTTAATTATGAAATGCAAAAACCAAGTCTTGCTTTTAGATATAAAGATGTCGACTAAAAAAACTTTATTCCTCCTTTCTCATTATTTTTGCTGCTTCTGTTTGTCTTAGTCTTGTAGAACCAATCTCGATATTATATATATATATGATTCTTTTGCATACGTGTTGCGAAAGAGAACAAAAGAAGAAAATAAATAATTTATTGCAAAATTAATATACTCAAGCAGATTAGAATCAGAGATCAGAGCAAATCCAAAGATTTGCATTGGATTGTATTTAACATTATAGAATTCAACTCTGTAACGAATACAGTCGTTATTTAGCATGATTAAGTTTTTCTATTAAAACTACAAATGTCTCTGCATGAAATTTTACAATTGAACTAACTACACTAAAAAAACAACTCATCTAATTTGTATTCTAACATTTATTGAAATACAGGAGTACTTCTCTTCATTAAAAATATACGGAAATAATTTGTAGTTATTACAAAAAGAGATTGATACTTCTCTATAATATACAACGTCTTCACTCACTATATATGACTTTTTCATGTACGGTAATTAATCGGACGATATACGTCCCATAGAAGTATTATCATCAGTCGAGAGAACAATGAAGAGTTTATGTGAATAGTCTGATTGGATATATACAATATATATCAGATAATTGTAATTGTTATAGTTGAACATGACTGCCTATATCTAATTTGTAATAGTCTAAAAATAAATGTATATCTAATTGTTTGATCGTTTGAAATATAAATTCAAATCTATTGTCACTAACTGTAAAAACAAATATGAATAGAGATGGTCATCAATTGTATTATGCAAGTAGACGTGAACGTTTACTAGCATTATTAATACTTTTATTAATTCTTATGTCATTTTTTCTTCATTTATCTTCATTTGCTGATATTATGTTTAAAAATTTCGATTTGGCAAATAATCAAACCAAGATTAAAAGTACGAAATCTTTTTTCTTTTTTCTTTCTATTATTTTAAATTGAAAATTAATATTTTTATTTAGAAAACAATGATACAACATTGCTAAATAATAAAAGCATCGATGATATATTCGATGTAAATCTTCTACCATTTTTTTGTATATTAGCTCATTTAATCTGGACAATTGTTTTATTGGTTGCACTTGATCAATGTTGTATATTTAATAACAAATCAATTCATAAAGTTCTATTTAAACTATTTATTTGTACATGTCCATTATTACTTTGCAGTGAATTAAGTATTGTCTTTGTCTTTCATATAAATGGTGTTAAAAATGATCTATTATTCATCGCTATTAAATGGTTAATATTTATTGGAACAATCTTAATTAGTTTTTGGACAGGTGTTATAAGTGATAAAGACAAATGGCGTGGTATTCATGGAGGACAAATAGCACCTGAACATAATACGCCATTGTATTTATTTCAAAATTAGATTTTTTTGTTTTCATATCATTTAAATACAAAATAAACGATCACTTCTAACAACTTTTATTTATTAGATTAATTATATGAATTAAGATTTTGGGCGTAGAAATCTTTGTGAAGAGTGATTTACATCTATTATGAGAAAATATTTTGTTATTTTATTAAAAGAAATCTAATAAAGAATAGAACGATATGAAATAATATTGAAAAATCAATGTGAGTTGATGATGATAAAAGAAAAAATGTATCAAAATCAAACTGAATGAAACTAAGTAGACGAATTTGATAAATATTTTCAATAGAATTACAATGTTTTCCTATTTGACATGTTAATTGTATCCGATCGATTATTAATTATAAAAATCGCATCACGTTCTATTGAATTAAATTCTGAAGTTATTGTTCGACATGTTGCACAAATTTCATTTGTTAATAAAGGAAAAATATTCATTGAAATTTGACATCGTCGACAATTTAAATAATCTACTGGTAAATATTCATGCGTTGAATTTCGATTAAAATAACATTGATTTATTGATTGATTAGAAAATGATTCATTCGATTCAATTAATGAATCCAAACTACCAGAAAAATGTTCTTCTAAATGAATTGAATTTAAGATTCGTTTTAAAACTGTTCCATTATTACATTGATCGGAAGATTGACATTTATATTGAATATCACGAGATAATCGTTTTGTCAATTCATCACCTTCTAATTGATATTGAACATTTGCTAATAATGAATCAATTAAGAAATTATTTTTATTTGTTATAGAATTATAACTAAAAATAATCTCAGTATTTGAAGGATTTCTTAACCATATTATTGTCAATGTACATTCACCAGATACATCAATTAACTTATTATTATCAAATGATGGTAGAGTATCACTTGTTACACTATAATTTAGAATAGTTGGAACTAAACTTGTATAACATTTTAATGAATAAACTAAAGAATATGATGACGATAATAATAAAATAAATAATAACATATTCTCTTTCATACTTGTGCGAAAATGTATCTTACTTTATCTTTTATATCATATCTTTAAGATACAAAAAGACACAACAAGAAACGAAACTTATTCATGTTAAAAGATTTTTTTCTTCAATTACGAAAGAAAAACTTGTGTTTCTTACTGATAATGTATACATTGAGAAAATGAATTAGATGAGATCAAGGTTCGATAGTGTAATGATTATTACATCTGCTTCATATGCAGAAGGTCAAGATTTCAAATACTGGTGCAACCATTTTTTTCTTTTATTAAAAATAAAAATAATTATTAGTTCAATATCACTTATATTTATCTTTAACAGATTTAATCTGTTCATATGATTTTAGCAAGTAGAATATTCCTTAATTTGAATTCTTTAGAATTTATTCGAAGGAAGTTTAGGAATATGCACATATTTTATTTGATAACAAAATGTTTATTGATGCATTCGCCTCCATAGTTGTTTTTTTGTTCTTTTTGTAAACCTTTGCATTCATATAAGAAATTGCGACACCTTTCTTTTCCTGCAAATTAATCGTCCATAGAAATATTTTTTAAGTGTGATTCATTCACATGTATGAATGAATAATGTCCGAATGAACCCTGTGTAATAATCAAATTTTATTTGTTCTCTAAAGAATATGAGTGAACATGTTATTGTGTTAGCACATGGCCTTCAAGGCATCATCCGGCACATGGAATATTTAGCAAAGTGTATCAAAGAAGAAAACAATAATATTTGGATATTAAATGCATCTGCTAATGATGGCACACGATTTGAAAATTGGTCATCAACTCGTGATGGTATTGATATGGGTGGTGAGAGAATTATAAGAGAGTTGACTACAAAATTAATCGCACATGTGAAAGAGACAAATAGCAAACCAAAAATGATAAGCTTTATAGGATCTAGTTTGGGTGGACTATACTGTAGGTAAGTTGTGCGAAATGCTGAGAATACCTCTGATGTATTGGTCACGAGTTCCACTGTATCTTTTTCGATTTGAACGTATCTTCAGGTAGACAATAAAAAGTATGAAAAGTAGTACTAATTCCTAAAAACGGTGCGTCTAAACACAATGATACCTCTGCTAAAAGAGAAGAATTAGCATCTGTACCTTTCTGCACTGGAAAGAGAGTACTATTTAAATGGTACTTGACAATCACCGAAATTTTAGTTTTTTATTGTAATGCAAGCGTGATTCCAATCTTAAAATTTTTCGATATATTTATTCGACTACAATAATGACTGGTGGTGATAGAGAAGAAGCCTTTTTCAGAAGATACGTTCAAATTAGAGACATAAGATCGTACTCTTGATCGGCGCATTGTTAAATTAAATTCAATTTATATTATGGTAATTTTAGGTATATTATGGGACGAATGTATAATTCAGATTGTGATCGAATCATTGTTCAACAAGATAACATTAAAATTGAATTGGAACTTATGAATTATGTTGCACTAGCATCTCCATTGATCTCTGTTCGTGCTCTAGTGCCAAATTGGGTGTATTATTCTATGAAAGTTA